AGCCACACTCCTGAGCAGGCTCTGGCCAAGAGGTGGGGACAGACTCTTGCCTCCTTAACAGTGGCTTTCTGATTGTAGCCTCGAGTTTGGAAGAAAACAAGGCAGTACTAAGGAGGAACAGGAAAGGAAGAGGCTGATCCACAAACACAAGCGTGAATTTAAAGGGGCCGTCCGAGAAATCCGCAAGGACAATCAGTTCCTGGCGAGGATGCAGCTCTCCGAGATCATGGAAAGGTGAGCGACGTGTGTGCTGGCACGGCTGGGTGACTCAGCTCTGGTGCTGTGTGGCCCTGGGCAGAGTACTGGGCACTAGCATCCCATGGCGTGGCTATGGCTGGAGCCGGGCACGTTCGCTTCCCCGCTGTGAACTGAATGTGGCTGCCGTGGGCTGATACGGTTCTGATGTGGGAGAGAGGGCAAGACGGCCTCCAAGAACTAATCGAAAAACGGGCATTTGCCTTTTGTTTCCTTCAGGGACGCAGAAAGAAAGCGGAAAGTAAAGCAGCTTTTTAACAGCCTGGCTACACAGGAAGGTGAATGGAAGGCCCTGAAGAGGAAAAAGTTCAAAAAATAAATTACATTTTATAAACTAGCAAGGAAGTACACTGTACATTACTTCACAGCTGCAGTCTCAACACTGGGAGGCCAGGGCAGGAGGATCGCTTCAGCCCAGGAGTTCGAGACCAGTCTGGGAAACAGGGAGACATCATCTCTACAAAAAAGTTTTACAATTAGCCAGGTGTGGTGGCACGCACCTGTTAGTCTCGGCCACTCGGGAGGCTGAAGCAGGAGTGCTTGAGCTGAGTCCAAGCTCACAGTGAGCCGTGATCGAGCCACTGCACTCCAGCCTTGGCAACAGTGCAAGACCCTGTCACTTAAAAAAATAAATTTCTTTTTTATTTTTGTTTTTTTTTGAGATGGAGTTTTGCTCGTTGCCCAGGTTGGAGTGCAGTGGGCAATCTCAGCCCACCACAACCTATGCCTCCCAGGTTCAAGTGATTCTTCTGCCTCAGCCTTCCAATTAGCTGGGATTACAGGCACGCACCATCATGCCCGGGTCATTTTATGTTTTTAGTAGAGACGGGTTTCTCCACGTTGGTCAGGCTGGTCTTGAACTCTCGACCTCAGGTGATCCGCCCACCTCAGCCTCCCAAAGTGCCTCCCAAAAAATAAAAAATTATTTTTTTGGCGTGAGCCACAGCGTCCAGCCAAAAAAACAATTTTTTAAGTAATAAAGAATGCCGTAATGTTGGTGTGACTTTTTCCCCACCTGCTGTTTGTCCCCGTTAAACGTCGGACGGAGCGGTCTGCGTGGTGTCAGCTGTGACTGGTTCACTGCATCCGGACACCCTCAGTTCACACTGCCAGGGTTGGGCCTGGGGATTCTGGCCAGTGCAATTTTTGTCAACTGTGGACATTTGCCTTCATGTGTAGAATTTAGGCTGCAAGGTAAATTACATATTCAATTATAAATGACAAGTTTGCAAGTAGCTTGGAAATCAGAGAAGAGTCGCCGTGCTGGAATAGCCACCGTTGGCCTTGTCCTTTCGCCCTTCAGCAGATGCTTCCAGGTGCTGGGTCCTCATTGAGGACACTGCACTGTGGGAGGTGGGAGGAGACTGGGTTGTGTCCGTGCCGACCTGGGTGTGGTTTCAGGTCAGAATTGGATGTGAAAGTTAGGGATGAGACAGCTTTTCCAAGTGTTTTTATCCTGCACGAACCAAGGGAGGTCAGCCCTCACGTTGGTAGGACCCAGGAGGGCCTGTGAGCTGTAAGAAGTAATGACCCCCTTGAACTTCACAAGCTGGCCAGGGAGCCATACCCCAGATGCCGCTGCCACGTCCTCACAGTGCAAGGCTTGTTGGGCCGGATACCTTGCTGAGGGAGGTGCTGAAGTGGGTTTCCCTGCACCAATACGGTATATGGTCTTGCAGGCCAAGGCATCACCCAGGGGACTACAGAGCCCCTGAGGGGCTACAAACCAGGGCAAGCACAGCGCCTGTGTCCTTAGCCAGCCTCCCAGGAAAGAAGCTTGGCATCACGTTCATACCACACCAGATCCCGCCGTGAGCAGCCTGCCCTAGAGTGCATGAAGCAGCATCGCTGAGGTCACATGTCTAGCCACGGCGGTGACCATGGTGAGATGTGAGGATTAGCCAGACTAGAACTGGGGAGGTGAGGAAAGTGAAGAGGACCCAGTTCTGGCTTCTAAGGGGGGTGTGGGATCTCACAAGGAAGAAGTTGCTGGAGAGAATGAGGAGTTTGGCTTTGTGCTCGCTGGGAGGTGTTGAGGCCACAGCTGGAGCGCAGCATGAGCCATCCTCGTGTGAGATGCAGTCACTGCCGTGGTTGCGCTGACTGGTAGGCCTGGAGCTCAGAACCAGCCAGTCTCCCTCTGGAGAGTGGAAGACAGAGACAGCCCTGGTGGCAGCTGGGCTGACGCTGGCAGCTTGAAGATGAGGCCCAGGCCGACAGAGGCATCTTACCCAGCCTCCCTAGGATAGCTCAGGAACAGGTCTGGCAGATGTGTGGGTCCACAAACCTAGAAGGGTCTAGGATTGTCACATCCACCAGCTAGGCTGGCTGGCTATCCCCCTGGTCCCTGTGTAGGCCCAGGATGCCGTTAACACCAATGGTTGCAGGGTTTCACCCACCTACACATTTTCTCTGCCACACGGCCACTGCCACTTCATTCGCCAAGCCCTTGCACTCGGGACAGCCGCCAAACTGTCCAAGCAAAGAGGAAAAGAACAGGACAGGAAAAAGTAGGACCAGATCACGCACCAGACTCTCCGTTGAGGCCTTGTTATCCATTACCGGACAGAACGTGCCGGCATTGAAGAGGGCGGGTGATCCACCTGGAAGCATGGATAAAGGTGAAACCACCCAGTGGGTTCACATTCCCTGCTACCTTGACAGAGCCAATTTCAAGACAGAGCATTTGCAATAGAGAAAAAGTAATTCACGCAGAGCTAGCTGTGCGGGAGACTAGAGTTTATTATTACTCAGTATCCCTGAGCATTTGGGGATTAGAGGGGTTTTTTTCAGTCTCACTTTGTCACCAGGCTGGAGTGCAGTGGTGTGATCTCGGCTCATTGCAACCTCCACCTCCCAGGTTCAAGTAATTCTCCAGCCTCAGCCTCCCGAGTAGCTGGGACTACAGGTGCGCACCACCATGCCCAGCTAATTTTTGTATTTTTAGTAGAGACAGGGTTTCACCATGTTGGCCGGGATGGTCTCGATCTCTTGACTTCATGATCCGCCCACCTCGTGCGTCTAAAAGTGCTGGTATTACAGGTAAGAGCCACTGCGCCGGTTTTTAAGGATAACTTGGTGGGTGGGGGCAGCCAGTGAGTCAGGAGTGCCGACTGGGTCAGAAATGAAATCAGGGATTCGAAGCTGTTCTCTGGGTGGGGGTCAGAAGATCGGAAGAGCCTAGATGGTGCCAGCTGATTCATCAAGCGCAGGGAGGGTCGCAAAATATCTCAAGCAGTCATCTTGGGCTTTACAATAGTGATGTTAATCCCCAGCAACAGTTTGGGGAGGGTCAGAATCCTGCAGCCTCCAGCTGCATGACTCCTAAACCATAATTTCTAACCTTGTGGCTCATCTGTTAGTCCCACAAAGGGAGTCTAGTCCCCAGGAAAGGTTTCTTTTGGGAAAGGGCTGTTAGCATCTTCGTCTTAAACTAAGTTCCTCCCAAAGTTGTTAGTTCAGCCTATGCCCAGGAATGAACAAGGACAGCCTGGAGGTTATAAGCAAGATGGGGCTGATTAGGTCAGATCTTTCTTTTGCCTCTTACAATTCTGCAACGGCAGTTTCATAGGGATGCCTGTCCTCTGGGGAAAGAGCTAATAACAGGTTGTCTTTTTGGCTACAGGTGGAAAACTGCATCTATTAGGCAGAATGTGTGCCGCCTGATTCCCTTCCCCATGTGTATCTTGTTGGGGTCCGCCACAAGAGATCCGCGGGCATTTTAGAAGGTGGGAGGGAGGTGGGGGCTGGCTGCAAGCCAGGCGTCGGCGCGGTTCCGTGAGTGTGCTGGCCCTGGAGCACGGGCACGGGCACGGGCAGCAGCCAGGCCCAAAGCTCCCCCAGCCGAGGGGGGCCGTTTCCTCCAGCGCTGAGCCAGGTGCTTCTGTGCCCAGCCAGAGCGCCAGCTCCTCCTTCGGGTGACCCAGGGAGCAAGGCTGCAGGCCCCGGCCCGGGACGCCGAAAAGGTGCCAACCGGGTCCTGTGGCTTTGTCTCTGCCCCCCTAACTCACACCATCTTTGCTCTCCTCCTCGGCCGCCTGTCCTGGGACTTCAGGCTCAGCAGCAGACACAGAAAAGGCAGCTGCACAGAGACAGCGAGTCAGCCCACGAGCTCCGAGCAGAGTGGCTGTGCCGCCCCGAGGCCGCCGCTGTACGTGTGGCAGGAGTCAGCCCCCGGGGTGGGGCCCCGAACCCCGCGGTTCTTCCACGAGGAGGGCCAGGCCCGCAGGCGCAAAGGCGTGGGGCAGAGCTGCGCCGGCGCCCGCTGGAGGCCGCGCACCCACACCTCAGGCCCACGAGTCCGCTCGGCGGGACGGGTGGCGTGGGCCCAAGGGGGCCAGGCCGGGAGTCTCGGCCTCGGGGTCACGCGGGACCCGGCCTCGCCCCAACAACTCCTCCGCTTCGGTCAGAGCGCTGCTAATCCACAGCCGATCAGCGAGTCGCGAGACTCTCGCGAACTCGTCACTGCCTCCGGCCGGAAGAGGACGTACCGAGAAGTTCGTCACTTCCGGGGCGTGGCGTGCCGTGGCCGGGCGTGGCCGTCCCGCCCCCGGCAGCGTACCTGCCGCTGAGTTCCGCTACGTCGGTCCCGAGCAGGCAGCCGCGGCAGGTGCGGGGCGGGACGGGGACGCGCGGGGTGTGGGTGTGGGTGGGGTGGGCGACGCGCGGGGATGGGAAGCTGGACCGGGGGCGTGTGGGGTGGCGGCTGTGGGGGGCGGGACCAGGGGTGCGCAGGATTGGGAGGCGGGACCGGGGGCGCGCGGGGTTGGGGGCGCTCCCGCGTCCGGCGTGTACGCTATGGTCCCCACCAAGGAGGCCGAGCCTGGGCCAGGGGCCTGGGTGTGGGCCTGAGGGCCGGGGTTGGGGTTCGGGTCACCGGTCTCAAGTTGCCTCTCCCGCTCTGTTACGAGGGCGTGGGAGGCGTGGCCGTGAGGCGGGGTGGGGCCGCGACCGCGACGTCCTCATCCGGGTCCCTCGGGGCCGTTGCCTTTGCGGCTGCGATTTCTTTCGCAACCCCCGAAGCCCTTGTTTCCTGCTGCCTGGGTCGGGGCGGGGGCATCGCGCAGCCCAGAACGGCCCGTGTCGGGTAGGCCGGAGCCCCCGCTATCAGCCCCTACATGTAGGGTGCTCGCCGGCTGTCAGGGCTCGGGGTATGGCAGGCCCTGCAGGACTCAGCTTCCCCCCTCACCCGACATGCCGCATCCCAGCCAGGCCAGGTTGGAGCAGCCACCATGGGATGGGGAGGGGGTGGAGGCTGCACCCCGCGCCCACCCATCCGCCAGCAGCCGCCGGAACGCCGCGTGGTCACTGTCATCTTCCTTGGCCTCCTGCTGGATCTCCTGGCCTTCACGCTGCTGCTGCCCCTGCTGCCCGGGCTGTTGGAGAGCCATGGCCGTGCCCACGTGAGTACTTGCCCTGCGGCCCACAGTGCTCCCAGGCCCCCAGGCCCATCGGACCTCCCCAGCCTTTGTTGTGCCTCCTCATCCCCTAGGATCCCCTCTATGGCTCCTGGCAGCGCGGGGTGGACTGGTTTGCCAACGCCATCGGGATGCCAGTGGAGAAGAGGTACAACAGCGTCCTGTTCGGAGGTATGGCTGGCTCTGTGCCCCTGGCAGGCCCTCTAGGGTCTTATCTCCAGACCAGGCCCCTTCTCAATTCTCGGTCCTTCCTTTCCCACTCCCTGGGCTGGCATCAATCTGGAGCCCTTGCCCACACATCTGGCTCTTGGGCATGATCCCCTGCCTCTGCGTGTCATGTCCACATCCTTTCTTATCTCCACTGGGGCCACCTCGGCTCAAGGGCTGTGGCCTGTGTGTGGCTCAGCACAGCTGGACCCTCAGGATGGAGCTGAACATTGGCTTTGAGGACCCTGAGACCACAGCTCGTGGTGCAAGGCAGCCCCATGACGGTGACATCTCTTTCTCAGGTCTCATTGGCTCGGCCTTCTCTGTCCTGCAGTTTCTCTCTGCACCCCTCACTGGGGCCACCTCTGACTGCTTGGGGAGGCGCCCCATGATGCTGCTGTCCCTGGTATGTCTCTGGATCTAGGTGCCATGAGGGAGCCCCCACCCACCCAGCCGGGAGCCCCATGGGGTTAGGTGGGACAGTGGGGAGAGGGAGGTGGCTGTGGGCCACTCACGGCCACTGGTTGGCCCTCATCACATCCTGGAGGGGGTTCTCTGGGGGACTAGTGGCTCCTGTCCTACAGCCAGGCTTTCAAGGAGCTGCTCTCAAGTGCCCCTCAGATGCTTCTAAATAGGGCAGGGTTGAGGGGTGTTGCCTGGGTTGCCAAGCCCCACTCTGAGCCACTCCTGGCCTTAAGTGACCACCCATGCCCCTTGGCCCCTGCCCCTGGGCAGACGGGTGTGGCCACCTCATATGCCGTTTGGGCCACCTCTCGGAGCTTTGCGGCCTTCCTGGCCTCCAGGCTGATTGGGGGCATCAGCAAGGGGAACGTCAGCCTCTCCACAGCCATCGTTGCTGACCTGGGCTCACCTCTGGCCCGAAGTCAAGGCATGGTAAGCGCACAGGCTGGACCTGTGGGGTCTGGGTGGGGACTTCTGGGCCTGGGGTCTCCCTGCACAGCTCAGGTGGTCTTTTCCCTAGGCAGTCATCGGGGTGGCCTTCTCTCTGGGCTTCACCCTAGGCCCTATGCTTGGAGCCTCCCTGCCCGTAGAAATGGCACCCTGGTTTGCCCTGCTCTTGGCAGCCTCCGACCTGCTGTTCATCTTCTGCTTCCTGCCGGAGACACTGCCCGTGGAGAAACGGGTAGGGCTGTGGTCTGGACCGACAGGCCCAGGGGCTGGGGGCTTGGTTCCATAGCTCTGAAAGATGCCCCTGTGTGCCAGCCCCAGATGCCAGGGAGGCTGGGCTGTTCCCTCCTGGTGTTGGGGCTCTTGAGGCCACAGTTCCTTGTGGCACCCTGTGAGGTGCAGAGGCGGTGTCTGTCCCTGGACCGCAGGCTCTCCAAATCCCATCCCTACAGGCACCCTCTATTGCCCTGGGGTTCCGCGGTGCTGCTGACCTGCTCAGCCCCCTGGCCCTGTTGCGCTTCTCTGCTGTCACTCGTGGCCATGACCCACCTGCTGGAGACAGTAAGGACCCGACCCACCCAAGTGTGGAGCCTGCTCTCCCCTGGGCTGCCCGTGTGGAGTCCTTCCCAGCTCCCTCCACCTCTCCCCAGGGCTCGGCAGCCTGCGCCGCCTGGGCCTCGTCTACTTCCTCTACCTCTTCCTGTTCTCGGGCCTGGAGTATACACTGAGCTTCCTCACACACCAGCGCTTCCAGTTCAGCAGGTGGGTCCCCATCTGGGGATGGCCTGCTGTCTCCCTGCTAATGCCCCCTGCTTCAGGGATGACCCTCCCAACTCCCACCCCCAGGAAGCCTTGGCAGCCACTCTTGCCCTGGCCCTGCCCCAGGTGGCCCTGCCCCAGGGTCAGCCGTTAGGGCTGGGCACTTAACACGCCCGCTCCCAGCCTGCAGCAGGGGAAGATGTTCTTCCTCATCGGCCTCACCATGGCCACCATCCAGGGTGCCTATGCCCGGCGGATCCACCCTGGCGGAGAAGTCGCGGCTGTGAAGCGGGTAGGGAGCTTCCTCCAAATCGGGTGGCAGGTGGTCCCGAGTCCTGCAAGGTGTGGGCTATGCTGAGGCCACCGTGCCCACCCGCAGGCCCTCCTGCTGCTGGTGCCTGCCTTCCTCCTCATCGGCTGGGGCCATTCTCTGCCCATGCTGGGCTTGGGGCTGCTGCTCTACTCCTTTGGTGAGTGGCCCTGCCCTGGCAGGGGATCCAATGATGGGCAGCAGGGGCAGGGTTATGCACCCTCCCCTGGGCTGACTGGCACCTCCCCGATGTCCCCCACCAGCTGCTGCAGTTGTGGTGCCCTGCCTGTCCTCTGTGGTCGCCGGCTATGGTGAGCGCCATTCCCTCGGCTGAAGCCACCCAGGTGGGAGAAGGGCAGTGGCCCTGACTACATCTCTCCCCACAGGCTCACCAGGGCAGAAGGGCACAGTCATGGGCACACTGCGCAGCCTAGGTGCTCTGGCTAGGGCTGCGGGGCCCCTGGTGGCTGCCTCAGGTGAGGGTGTAGGATGGTGCTGGGGCAGGCTGGGGGCTGGGCACTTGCTCTCGTCTCCCCAGTGCCAGCCCCTTCGGGGTTTGGGTAACGCCGATGTCTCTCCACAGTGTATTGGCTGGCCGGGGCCCAGGCCTGCTTCACCGCGTGGTCTGGGCTCTTCCTGCTCCCCTTCCTCCTCCTGCGGAAGCTGAGTTGTCCGGCACAGATGCTCAAGGCTGAGTAGCTGAGCCACTGCTCCCAGGCTGCAGGCGCCAGGCAGGGAGTGGAAGCCTGGGCTAGGCCCCTGCCCGCTGCCTGACCCACCTCCTTCCTAGTCCAGAGAGATCCAGTGGGTGGGGGCCGGCCCCCTGGCAGGAGACCTCGGCAGCTCCTCTGGGCTCACTCCTTTATGACTCCGAACGGTAGCACTGCAAGGCTGTCCGGGTTTTTGTTTTTTTAAACTATGTACCAGGTTTCTGATGACAAAATAAAGCAGCTATTTTATACCAAGTGGCTTTCTCCATACATAGCCATGCCTCGCTGCCCTCAACAGGAGAGGCCGCTGGAGCTGAATGAATGGCTCCACTGACCAGAAGGGTCCGAGGCTCTTCGAGACCCTGTTTCCCCTCTGCACAGTGGCAGTCTGGGGACTCAGGCAGGCCCCTCCAAGGCTGGTGTCAGCCCTGGCTAGGTGGCATCTGGCAGTGTGCCCCACACCCTGGCAAACTGTCCCCGGCACAGAGCCTTCCCAATCAGACATGAACACACAGTGACAGTGACATTGGGACCATGGCACAAGGACAGGTCAGCAGCTCTCTGACCACCTTGATTTCCCATGGGGAGGGACAACGGGAGTGCTGGGCTGGCATGTCTTCCCGCGCCCATAGCTGCAGATGACATTTTATCAAGACACGAACACTCGAGAGGTCTCCTTTCGGCGCAGGAGACAAACTTGGGAACAAAGAAATTAAAATGTAAAACTGCTTCCCAAATTTAGACATGGAAATTGCTTAAAGAATTTTATTTGTGAGTAAAACATGTTACAATGGAGAAAGGACATTCAGGATCTGTCCTTCCAAGTCTGTTTTCATATATGCAACTATATTTCATGTTGTAATACAAAGGATTAAACTACAAAAGTGAAAATTAAAAGTCATTGCATATGTGGGATAAAGGAAGGGATGAAAGGAGGGGTGAAGGAAGAGTCCACGGTTAAGGACTTTCATTCTGCCTTGGCAACAAAACAACACATAAGAAAAACAGCACGCTTGCCCACGCAGCAGGCCCTGCGGCTCAGAGAAGCTCCAGACAGCGGTCAGTGCCACGCGGCAGCCCGGTGCTCACACGGCCTTCCAATTGGTGGGACCCAAAGTGGCTTGGCCCATCGTGCCCAGGACCTGAGCCTACATCTGGCACCAGCTCTACCAGGGGCCTGTCCCATACAAGCTTGCCTGCACCTAGTCAGGCTGGTACTGGGGCAGCTCCTGAAATGGATCACCCTCCAGTTCCTGCTCCGCAGCTCTGAGCCCTTTTCCAGGGAAGTGAGAGTAACAGTTACTAGCCAAGCAGCGCTCGGAGGATGGAGATATCGAGAGGCCCCGGGGCCACTCTCCACCTCAAGTTACCTTTTACCACAACTAGGGCATCTTTCTGGCCGAGTTAAGGTGAGAACAGATTCCCTGAAACCTCCCCCAAGTAAGTGAAAAGTGCTCTGCTGCGGGGTCTGGAAAGAAAAAAGCAAAAAGCAGCCTGTTCATGTTCACAGTCAAAAATGTAAGCTAAATTGTAAACCTGCTGAAAGAAAATTCTAGAAAAGACTCTTCCCCTCCTGATATACCTTCCCTATGACAGGAATCCAGAGACCCGAGTGAAAAAACTGTGAGCTCCTGAATGTGGTTCTGGTCGAGGGATCATTCGTCAGACCATGCATAGCGTCGTGTTGGGTACACACAGGCCCATCTGCTGCTGGCGTTTCCTGCCCAGCATCTGGCCCAGACTTGCCTCTTCAAGGCCGCTGGTGGGCACACAAGTGTTTTCACGGGACCAAGGCTTTGTATATAGATGTAAGTGAGATCACTGAGCAGAGAGAATGCCACATGAAGCCAGGAGTCTGAGTCCATCACCTGAGACCTTAGGGTAGAGGGGAAGCTAAGCAGAGACAGAATGTGATTTCCTAACAGGTAGTACAGCGGGAGAGGTGAAGACTCGAGGGTGACGCCTGTCGCCAAAACTGGCAGAAGCCTCTAGGACCTTCCAGCCAGAACCATGACTTAATGCCTCCCACCTGCAGGGACAGCACGTCTTCCCTAGAAGCTGAGGCTGAGAGGATAAGGGGCAGGGTGTGGCGGGGCTGCAGAGCACACACTCGGTCAACCCTCGGGACGCACAGGGCTGGTCACGTAAAGGGGAGCTCTAGCTAGCGAAGGGCTTGGCTTTTTGCATTCCATTACACAAGGACAGAGCACGAGATGCAGTCAGGGACTCTGGCAGAGCCAGGGTCGCTCCGGACAGGACAGTGTTAGCGCAGGGCCTTCAGGAGTCACTCTTCTTCTTGCTCTTCTTCAGAAAGGACGGGGTACGGAACTTCTTCTTCTTTTTGGATGGGGACTTGCCTGGAGACCCATCACTGCCAGGGTCCGCAGCAGCCCCCTCCTCGGCAGTTGAGGGGGCAGGCTCTTCGGCCACCGGGGCTGGGGCTGGGGCTGGCTCGGGGCTGGCCTCAGTAGGGGCCTCAGTGGGACTTGGGGGTCTATGGGCTCCCTCCTCCTTCTCTAACATTGGGAAGCCAAGTGCTTCTGAAGGCTCGTCAGGGGACAGATCGGGGAGAGTCGGCTTAAAGGTGGCGGCATCACTGTCGTCTCCAGTAGTCGGCTCCGGCAGAAGGTCTGGTGGGTGAGGTGAGAGATGGGGTTAAGGGTTCCTGCCCAGATCAAAACGGGCAGCTTGAGATGGGGGCTCCCTGCACAGGAAACTGCCATTTTACTCTGGATTTTTACTGACAAGAAACTTAAAATATGGTCTACTCTACTGTAAGGCTGGATGGAGCCAGTATCACAGAACACACACTTGGTCTTGGGGCAGTTTTTAGCTCCTTCTGGTGGGCAGTGTGCTGACAACACCACACCCCGTCCCAGCCTGGGTGCCCCCGCCGAAAAGACAGACGGCAGCATGAGCTAAGGACAGCTAAAGCAGGACGTCTCGCTGTCATCATGTGAAGAGAAGGCTGCCCGGTCACCCTAAGGGCATGTATTAGGAGTCTTAAAGTTAAGTCTAAACTTGGGTCTACAACACCTGGTCTCCCCCAAAACAGCCAGTAGAAAATCGTGCTTAACTCCCACGCACGTGTGTGATGTCAACATCCAAAAAGCCGTTTAGGCTGGAAGTTAATTAAAAGGAAAGAGATGGCCTGTAAGGCAAGGAGTGGTGGCCAAAACTCCAGCCAGCATCAGGAGTGGACATCTGTGAGGGAGCACAGTGCCCCTAAGGACACGACCTGGGGGTACCTTCCTTCTACACTCACACGGGCACGTGCTTTGTCCATTTGTAAACAGCCTACAAAGTTACCAGCAACTGACAGGTTAGGCACCACAAGCTGTTTAGTGTTTAAAAAGCCACACATCACGGCCGGGGGAGTCAGCTGAGCGGTTAGGAGCAGCATAGGAGGCCCCGGCCCTAAACCCTCAGTGCTTTACCTGTGGGAAGCTGGAAGCGCCACCACCCCACCAGCTGCCTGTGCTAATTCCGGGCCACACATTCCTAAGGGCCGGGGAGAGGGCTGTGGGCACACAGGCGCCTCTCCTCTCCCCTGAGGAGGTGGGGCCCGCTCTGCTGGGCACGGTGCAGCTGATGCTAGGATGGAGGCTGCCCCAGAGTGCTCGGTCTGGAGAGCTACCTATCATCTGAGTGAACATCTCACTGCTTTAAAACCGTCCAATATCCGCTCCTCTGCCCACCTCCAATTCCCAGTCCCAGCTTCAGCAAAGGTCCAAAGCAGTCTGACCCCACGCAGCAGGTGGCAGAGCCCCACCCTGTCTGAACTAAGCTGCACTTATGTCGGATCCAATGGGGTAAAACCCTCCCACCAAGCAATCCAAAGAGACCCTCTATGGCCGGAGGTAAGAACCTCTGAGGCCCAGAGTGCCCCAGCGGCACACCTAGGTGTGTACAGGTCCCGAGGGAGGCGCCCTCTGCCGCTGAAGGCAGCACAGTGCTCAGGTGACTGAGCTGCTTCCGGGAAGGCCTCCAAGGGACTGGGTACAAAAAAGGGGCTTTCTGTTTTTATTTTAAATAAACAGAAAACAAAACTTAATAAACAACAAAGCAGCAGGAGAATGAGGCGAAGCACAGGGCACCGGCGGAGAGCGGAGGCGGCGCGGTACTTACTAGGGTAACAGGTACTCTCTAGCGCAGCCGTCTCCTGTTTGTGACGCAGCCACAGGAAGAAAAAGCACAAGGAGAGAATCTATGCATTCAGTCACAGCCATCGGGTTACAGAAGAAGAAAGGCAGGGCCACGGGCTTCACGAGAGACACAGATGTACGAGACCAAGGGACAGACACCCGGGATCACACGCCACAGACACACGGTGGCCGAGACAGCCGGCGTGCGGCTCACACAGCGGAGGGCACCTCCGGAGGTGGGGTCTGCATGACAACACGGCATGAGGTGTGTGCGAGCAACGGGCACTGCGGACACCAGCAACCACGGTGGGTTCCGACCCCTGAGGTCGGCCTTCCAACCTGGTCACAGCTCACTTACAAATCTGTCTTGCCTGGAGTTACCCAGGACAGAACCAACACAGGAGGAGAGAGAAGGTGTCACATCCTGGCGTTGATGCAAGCACACACTTCTGCATTGGTGTTAACACGACTCCCGCCACATTGAGTCACAGCGCGCACGAGCCGTGCACCCTCCCACACTGGGGCAGCCACTGCCACCCAAAGCTCACCTTCCTCCAGCTTGATTGGAGTGCTGGGAGGCGGGTGGGGGACCGCAGGCTGGTCTGGAGGACTCTCTTCTTTCTGTTCTCTAGTCTCATCCAGATTCTCTGCGGAGAAGCAAGAAGGATATGGTAGGAGCTGTGGGCGCCATGGGCCAGCACCCACCTCCATGCCAGACAGGAGCCGGCCCAGCTGCGCTCTGAGAAGGCAGGGCTCTCTCAACACTTTCCCGTAGTCCTACCAAGAGAGGATAAAGCGAGCTGTGACATGGGTGTTGACTGATGTGAGTTTCAGAGAAACTTAACCAACTTCAAATGAAAAAATTCATTTCTATTCTTATTCCAAAGAGTATCTGCCAGAGCTGCCTCTGATGGACTCAGATGATGCGCCCTGGCCCGTCCCCACTTGTCCTGTGTGAGTAGGGAGCCCTTCCCTCCCTGCCTTCTCCCTGCCTAGCAGGGGGCCAAGGGTCCTGAGCCCCTACGCACCACCTCAAGGGACATCACATGAGCATTATTTTGGTTTTACTTCTGTGGCAGGGCGTTTTATCCCAATAATTTAAACTTGGCAACTGTAGTGCATATTTTTATTTTTTAAAGTGAAAAATGCTAATAAGGACCAGAAGAAAAAGTGGGAACTAGGATCCTGGATATAGAAAATTCCAAGTCCACTTCTCATTTCGGGAAGAATATGGATCAGCACTATCCTCACTCCTTCCATCTCTGTCTTTATTTAAGAAGTCTAGATTAATAGCTTAGGATCAGCAGGTCTCACATTTTGAACAAGCAGCTGTCACCACCCTTTTGACCTCCCAGGGTCTCTGCTCCCAAGCTCCCACCCTAACAGCTGGCTCACCTTCCCAAGCACCACGTTCGTTGGCAGCTAGCTACCTTCCTGAAGCCAGGTGTCCATAAAAAGGCTGTCATACCACCTACCTGAGTATGCATACAGCCTGAACCAGGAAAAGGTGCTGGCCTCTGACAGCCAGCCTGCATTTTCCCTGTGGCACACACTCCCCTCACCCTACACCAAGGGCCAGATCAGATCTCCTGTGGGTTCTGCTGTTGACAGCTCTGTGATCACAAAGCACGGCCAGAGCCATCCCCATTCACTCAGCTGCCATCACAGCCCTGCTGAAGGAGCCTCACACATGCAGGGGAAACTCCAGGTATCTTGTTTGACTTAAAAACAATCTGGTTACTCAGATCCCAGAAGACTCCAAAGGAGAGACATATGTCTGTGCGCATGTGCACAGGAACTAGGGTTAGGCCACATGACCCACAGCTCAAGCTGACTACCTCTAGTTCTCACTCTAAGGCAGATAGTTCTATCAATGGCTCAGACAAAGCTTCACTGGAGGGAGACAACCAGCTTCAGGACCTGGTATGTGTGAAGACCTGAACAGTAAGAGTGTAACACTAGAAAACAATTCAGTATCCGCAGACACTTTCTCACACACACACACACAAAAGAAACAGAAAAAAAAAAACAGCAACAGTTTTTGCATAACTCAAATTTCAGTAACAGCTACATAACGCAGTGGCTGGTCTAGAATAAGACAAAAAACAGTTAAGAGGTCATCTGAGAAGGAGTGCCTAGCTCCCAGGATGACTGTGGCCCAGGAGGGCAACACACAAGGGTCAGTCCCACACACTGAGGTGGCTCCAGCAAGGCTGACCTGGGAGGGCTGAGAAGCATACTTAGGTTTCAGTAAAAACCTGAGTTGAAGCTTACAGCCCTGAGGATGCTGGTGGGAACCTCCTGGCAGGAGGCCCTGTGCCCTTGGGTCTTCCTGGTGCCAGCACCAAGGTGCTCAGTGCCTAGTGAACAAGAGGGCTGGCAGCAGGGTGCTTGGGGGAAAAGTGGCTAAGCCACCAGAGCCCCCAAGGAAGAGGCACTGGAGACCTGCTTCTCTCCTTAGTTCTCAACGTTTCCTTTTCAAACCCTGACATTTGAAACCACCAGCTCTGTGAGGGTCTGACACCAGAGCCGCTCCTTTTCCTTCACTTAAGACTGCCCATCTTTGACAACTGACTGCCTTTGTCAGTGAGCTGCCAGGAGAAGTACAGGCTGCACCAGCCGCTCCTAACGGGACCTGAGCATGTGCCACGGCAGTCAGCACATTCACCCTTAGGCCTGTGATCACACCTGCATGGGGGACCCTCGAGGTTTATGGTGAAAGAGGATTTCTATCAGAAACCCCCAGCCCTACACACAAGCACAGTAAGGCCGTTCAGAGCATCCCCCTGCAGAGGCTGGGGCTGACTGCTGTGACTGAAGACTTAGTGAGGAAGGGAGTGCACTTCTGTCCAAATTAGGGCCACACAACACCTTGTTCTTGAGAGCCACCCTGCGGCCGAGCCCTCTACTCCTCTGCTCCAACTGGGGGAAAATGCCCTATCTCCCACTTTGCGAATGAAATGTACACACGACAGCACTCAGCATGTCCCCGGCATGATGACTGCTCAGCCACAATGAGCATGAATGAATCAAACCAACTGGGTTTAATTTTTGTCTGCAGAAATCAGAGCTTCACTTCTCCCGCTTCACAGAGCTTCCCCAGTGAGGTTTCAACAGACAGAAATAGTGTTCGTAAAAGAGAAAATGTCTCTTAAAAATATATTCAGGCTGGCTTTCCTACTAACTAATCCAAATTAGTGAATTCTTTAGTCAATGTTCTCATCACTCCACATGGACAGATGTGCTTGGAGAAGGACCAGTGCCCTCCAGCCCCGAGATCTGTGGGTGGCCCCTCGCTGCTGCTGTCTCCTCTTGCCCTGCCTCACCACAGCTGCTGGATGGGGCCGCGGTGGCACATTTTCAGGCCCAGTCATGTTTTGGCAGAGGGGCCCTGCCGTGTCTTAGTATGGGGCACAGATGCTCATGAGTGGCCACAAGTCACGTGTCCCTCCTCGTCAGGGCCACTCACAAGTGTGCCTAACTTTGCAATTTCTTCCATTCTGGCCTAAGTGACTAGCTTGGAAATGAGTACTGAATAAAGATCTGGTCTTAACCAAACAAAAGGTTTGTCTTTGATCATGTGACTATTCTTACCACACCCACAGCGAGCACCTGGACCACAGAGAAGCTCCCAGGGCGTGCCCAGTATCACAAGCACTCACCTTCGGAGCCCTTCTGCTTCCGCTCCACCTCTCTGCGGTACTCCTCCAGCTCACGGTCTGTGAGTGTGGTGAAGGGGTTGGGGCCTGTGGTGCTCACAATGACGTGGGGCTGGTACTCCTTCTCAATGATGGCCTTGGAGGCTGTCACCAGCTCTCCCTGTGGATGAAAGGGACATCTGGTCTGCAGGAGCCCAGCCCAGTAGGGACTCTCCCTCCTCCCAGACAGGCTGCAGGTGGGGTGGGGGGATAGGGGCAGGAGGCTTTCCAGGAGCAGACACCACTGAGACTGCACCGCCATGGACCCAAGGCGTAGGCTGAGCTGCAGCCTTCAGTGGTATATGTGGAAACACGGGTCAGTGCCACGAGGAACAGACGCTAACTGCAGAAGAAACCCTACAGAGCCCTCCAGGTTTCAGAAGCAAGAGCCCAAGTGCAGACCCAAGAGCACAGAGCACCTCCGAGAGGGTGCCCGCTCCTCACTGACGGGCACCAGGGAAGAGAGCCTTTCCTGCTACTGTTTGAAAGTCAGTATTTTCCTCATGACATCACAAACTGTCACGAGCTATAACACTCAGCATAGGGCATGCTCAGAACTGCTTATGTTCTAAGAGCACAGGTAAGTTCTGTTCCTTTGACTATGGTTAGTTGATAACTAGTTCCTGGAACATAACCCAAAACATTGAGAGATAACAAAATGTCCCAAGACACCAGTGTTTAGCTGAGGAATTTAGAGAACCGTGAAAATTTTACCAAAGAAAAAAAGAAAGCGAAGCGAAGCACAAAGGCACTCACAGACCACAGCCAATCTTCAAGCAGGAGGCAGAGCCTGCAGGCAGGTCCAGTGGGCTGGGTGGGCCTTAGGGGCTGCGGTCCACTCACACCCACCTGCCCCAGCACAGGGCTGTGCCCACAGTGCAGCCTGGCTGGGCCAGGAGCAGGAAAATGTCCCCCAAATTCCCTGGAGCTCACTTCTTAGACAGTTCCCCAACACTCACACACAGGCACATGACTGAATGACAGCTTCCAAAACCAAATCAAAGCAGGAGAATCCACAATCACTTGGACGCCAGGCCTGGTCCTTCAGTGCTCCTCTCAGTGAGGGGTGAACACTGAGATAAAGAGCATCCTAGCACAGCTGACTCCGGAAATTCAACTCACATGGGCCGACTGCTCCTCAAGCAGAGACAGGGGAACCTGGACTGACTGGGATAGGCTGAGTGGTCACCACCTGGCACACCACATACCCAGTGTCTGGGGGCACTCCATGACTGACCAGTGACATAGAGCCCAGGGAGGGACGGATGGGCTGCTGGAATAGGCAACCTTTGCCAAGGAGCCTGGAGACTTTCGACAGTCAGCAGGTCAAGGGGAACCCTCTTCTAAATCAAGCTTGACTCAAGGCCCATTGGCTTTTCTTGTGGAAGCCACCCTGCCTCACCAAGACAGAAAGCCGAGTCCTGTCTGCCATGTGTTAGCTCTGTGGCCCCAGCCAAGTCTTTCCCTTGACCAGAGGCCTGCCTCACTATCTGAAGAAGTAGCTGCTGGGCTAACGGCTGCTAAGAGCCCTCACACGATGGCACTCTAGAGATGGCATCCCAGCAACGGCAGTTTGGCTGGCTACACCTGCATCCTGATATCATTTTCAATGAAATGGGAAAGTGATATGAGATAAAAGCTTAAGTTCATTTAAATCAAATGGTTACAAATAGTTAAGAAATAAAATATTAAGAATCAACTATCAGGCCAAGCATGGTGGCTCACACCTGTAATCCCAGCACTTTGGGAGGCTGAGGCAGGCGGATCACCTGAAGTCAAGAGTTCAAGACCAGCCTGGCCGACACAGTGAAACCCCATCTCTACTAAAAATACAAAAGAATTAGCCAGGCGTAGTAGTGGGTGCCTGTAATCCCAGTTACTCAGGAGGTTGAGGCAGGAGAATCACTTCAACCCAGGAGGCAGAGGTTGTGGTGAGCCAAGATTGCGCCAATGCACTCTAGCCTGGGTGATGGAGTGAGACTCTGTTTCCAAAAAAAAAAAAGAAAAGAAAAGAAAAAGAAAAATTGACTATCAGCCAGACACCATGGCTCATGCCTATAATCCCAGCACTTTGGGAGGCCAAAGCAAGAGGACTGCTTGAGCCCAGGAGTTCAAGAACAGCCTGGGCAACACAGTGAAACCTTGTCTCTACAAAAAATTTAAAAATTAGCTAGGTGTGGTGGCATGCATCTGTGGCCCCAGCCACTTAGGACGCTGAGGAGGGAGGATTCCTTCAGCCTAAGTTGAGGCTGCAGTGAGCTGTGATCGTACCACTGCACTCCAGCCTGGGCAACAGAGTAAGATGCTCTCTCAAAATAAAAATAAAAATCCACTGCCACAGAGACACCAAATCCCTTCTTCCAAATTCTGATGACCCAAAAGACAAGTGGGGCTATCTCATACTGAGACAGCTGAAGCCCAAAGCACAGCAGGTCCCTGCCTCCAGTGGTGAAGAGCTCCCTCCTCCAAACACCACAGCTAAGGGCCAAGCTGCTGTCAAGACCAGTTACGGGAACAGAGAATCACATTCTTCTGGAAGAAAGGACACAGGGCAATGCTTGAGATGCAGAGAAACACACGCCACTCATGGACGACCCAGGCAAGAAACCAGGATGTACCTAGCTTCCCCTCCTGCCACACCTCTCACCTCCCTGTCACATGACGAGACTCTAAAGCAAAACACAGGCTCAGTAAACTTTTCATACTTGACTGAGGCTGTGCAACCTGCACTAGCAGCTAACCTCTCTGAGTATCAGGTTTTCATCTGTAAGCAGGACTAACTTGAATCTGGACTGGCATTCCCAGTGCTGGACCATGCATAGGCTAGGTGCTCAACACAGGTCACTGAGAGAGTCTGAGGGGTGGGCTTACTGCCCTTCTGCACTTCTACCACAGAGCATGAAGGATGGCAGGGAACATAGCCCCTGATGAGGTGCCCATGGGAACACAGAGCCCTTCCCTGAGCTGAACAGCTTGCAGTGTAGACTCACACCTTCATCTCTAATCCCTCAGTTCACCTGCAATTAAATTCAGAAGGAAACCAAAATTATTTCAGGTATAGCAAGCATGGTGACTCACACGCTGTAATCCCAGCACTTTGGGAGCATGAGTCAGATGGACTGCTTGAGCTCAGGAGTTTGAGACCAGCCTTGGCAACATGGTGGAACCCAGTCTTTACAAAAAATATAAAAATTAGCCAGGTGTGGTGATGTGCACCTGTAGTCCCAGCTACTCAGGAGGCTGAGATGGGAGAATTGCTTGAGCCATGATAGCCTGATCACACTCCAGCCTGGACAACAGAGTAAGACCCTGTCTCAACAATATATATATATGTATTTCAGGTTACATGTTATGACGCCCAAAGCAAAGTCAACACAGCCTTCAGCTGGGCTTAGAACTGCTGTTTGAACTGTGACTCACTGTCCCTTCTTCTGTCAGAAGGCGACACCTGCACTGTGGGAATGGCTGTCACCAGTGAGAGAGAAATGAACGGCAAAGCAAAGTGCTTTCCAGAAAAGCCCCAGCTTCCTAAGTCCCAAATACTCACTCCTCGGGTTCTCAAATGGGAAGCAGGCATCTACATGCTCACTGCACTAGGGAGGAGTGTGTGGGACACAGCCCTCCTTGCTTGGTCAAGGAAAAATTCAACTTCCCAACATGCAGCGCCATGTTCCAAAAGGAGCATACTGCTGCTTTTTGAGGTCCACATGAAAGGAAGTGGAAAAATTGCTCAGTAAAGGACTCCCATGGTGCCAAAGCACATTCTCACCAAAAAAAAAGAGGAATATTTTAGCCAGTGTGGGATAAAGATCAAGGGTGCAAAAGTGAACTTCAGAAATAGGCAGGCAGAGAAAACAAAAAGCTGGAATAAGCATTTATGTACAGGGGGTCAACATCTCTTCCTCTGGGGTCAGTGTACAGTGGTATTCTCTGCTAATCACATCTGGATGCACCACTCACAGTGAGCACAGTGTTCAGAAGGTGGTGACCCTACCTCTTTTCAGGAAGCACCCAGGTGACTGTGACACACATCCACATCTGAACATCACTGGGACACAGCACACAAAGCTGTAACTGGTGATTGAACACAGAGACCCAAGCTGCTTTCTGGAGAGCCCTAATAAGGATGTCAGTGCTGCCCCGTGTGTGGACTCAACACAGGAGGCCAGCTGGGCTCTCACACACCTGAGAGAAAGAGTAACTGACAAGACCACAACAAAGTGCCAAAATACGAAAAACAAGCGACAAGCAGAGTCATCTTTCTCCCCTGCTCTGAGAAGTTCTTCCAAGAACGGCAGCCAAAAATACATTCTAAGCATAGGGGGAAACAGGACCTGTGGAATTAATAAGTAAATATGCAAAATGATGTTATTAGCAGGGATTACAGAAAGGAATACAGAGTCTTCGTTATAAACCTGCTCCCATCTGGCAACTGGAGCTCCACTAAAGTGACATATACATCTCAGTGAAGGTGTGTCAAGTGAAAGAGACAGTTCTGGAAATTTCCTTTGACCAGAAGATAAACACACATCTCAGCTGAGATTCTCAACCATGCAGCCAGCCATGTTCTGCCCTGGGCACCAACTCCTGCACACCAGCAGCCTAAATGCTCAGGAAGGTTTCCTTCCATGTGGGTTGGTTAGCCCACACAGACCTTCCACCTACTGCACAGGCCAGATGTGCATGCACAGAGGGAAATTACAATGTGTGCTTTCAAACTCTCGTAAGTCCTTCTCCTCTGCAGCATTTAAAAATGTTATTTAGGGTTTTTCTGAGGTAAAAGTAAATACATTTTATCAAAAAGGGCTGACAAAGCCTTAATTCCAAAGTCTTAATTCCCATTCCTCTAAAATGACATCTTTCAATGATACAACCTTCAGTGGCTACATTCATGACATTTACAGTCAAAGTTGAACCAGCAAGGGTGGAAGGGCACTCGGGAGTGGCCACTGCCAACGGACTGATCAGAAAAGCCTGTCTGCAGTCAGCATCGTGGAAAAGGCAAACCCTGAAACACAAAATATGCACTGACCAAAGTCCCGTGCAGAAGTGCAGAAGTGCACCCCACCGCTCAGACTGGCCATTTCTCAGCAACAACTTAGAATGCTGTAAATTGTTCACAGCACATATCAAATGTTTTCATTAAAGAATCAAGGCCAGGTACAGTGGCTCATGCCTGTAATACCAGCACTTTGGGAGGCCAGGGCAGACAGATCACAAGGTCAAGAGATCAAGACCATCCTGGCCAACATGGTGAAACACCGCCTCTACTAAAATACAAAAATTAGCGGGGCGTGGTGGTGGGCGCCTGCAGTCCCAGCTACTCAGGAGTCTGAGGCAGGAGAATTGCTTGAACCTGGGAGGCCGAGGTTGCAGTGAGCCAAGATCGTGCCACTGCACTCCAGCCTGGTGCCTGGCAACAGAGCAAGACTCCGTCTCAAAAAAAAAGAAAGAATTGAGTAGGCAGAACAGAACCTTCTGTACAATCTCACAAATAATTTAAAGATCCACTTGAAGCTACTTCAGTAACTAATGCCTGAAGAGCGGAGACGACGAGGAGGGGAAGAAGGGGAGGGGAGCGAGGCGCACCAACAGGTAGTCAAGGATAGGGCAGTGAGTACCTTTCTAAAAGAGAGAGACTTAGCAGGACTAAAGGTCTGCTCTGTAAGCTCGAGCCCTTCGATAGTTTCCGTACAGTCAGAGAGAGGTGCGTCCTGAAACAGTAAACTGAGTCACCAGAGCACACCAGGCCCAGCCTGTGAAATAGCTGAGAGCACAGGATGGGGCTGGCTAAGAGCATGCAGCAGGGACAGCTGTCAACAGTAAATGTGGCGGTGATGATGGCGGAACGTGCAGACACTGAACACGAAACCAGGACCACGGCTGGCCAAATCTAACAATCATCTACCCCTGCAGAGTCAGGTTTTAAAGCATCAGGTGGCATATTTGTTTTCAGAGATAACTACTTACACAATTATCTTCAATGTGCCACAAGGTAGTCATTTTGTAGAAATGTGTGTAAATGTGCACCACATTTACAGGCACCCACTCCTCTCCAACCCAAGCAGCACTTTGTTGCAGACAGCAATATGTATCAAAACAAGAGTCCCTTAAACCCACCCTCTCCTAGCGTCTGACACAGAACTCTGCTGAACCCAGGCCGAATCTAAGCCCCAAAGCTAGTGGCGTATGCGCCACCCTCACATATGCATGCATTACAAGGGGTAGGACCAGAGGGGTGGACATAGCCCTCAGCATGCTTGCTCCATCTAGAACTCAAGGAAAGGTGCCTGGGTTGTTTTTCATCATGAGGTATTAACAAAGGTAACTGGTTGCCTGGAATACTTACCTCATAAAGTCACTCTCAATTTCAGAGCAACTTTGCAGCAGGCGGTCACACAGCCACCACCCACTAATGTCAGAGACACTCTGGGCTCTCACCTGGACGAGGCTCCTGTCCATCACTACACCACACAAAACCTGGGACTGAGGGCCAGCCGTCTTAATGTCCTGTAAGTTCTGCTCTCGGATCTGAGGACGGGAAGGAGAAGCACACATGAAGGTCCTGAGCAGCCATGCTGCCCGGGAGCCATGCTGCTTGTCCCCTTGGGCACCAGCCACATGGAAACTACACTTCAGGTCTCCCCCTGCCCCATATAGGCAGGATGGCCCCATGTGTTCTGAGTGACTGCCATGCCTGCTTAGTGGGGCATGGGTCTGCAGGGATGGAGACTATTCCCAGCTCCCCACACCTTCCAGACACTTGGGCAGGGCACATATCTCCCACTGTCATTAACTTGGTGGAGACATTCCCTGCATGTCCATTGTCAAGTGACATGAGCACTGGCAGGGCACCTGCTCTGATACACCAAATGCCACTCACAAGTCTTTGAACAAACCCTGAGAGTCAGGGACAGCAGTCTGCTCTTGCTAAGAATAGGTTTTGCAGCTTCCAATTCTGACCTGTGAGCAAAACATCCATTCAAGAATCAACAGGGCCCAAAAAAATGCCTGCTGTTGACATTTCACACTGGCGGTAGAACAGCAGCAGTGTGAAGAGATGGCTTCAGTTACAACAGTGGCAACAGCAGCAGATGTCCCCTGCTAGAAGCAAGCACACCCTCCCCTTGAAGCAGCGGGCATCCCTTCCAATCCCACACCCAAGCCCCCAATGAGTAGCGACGCAGGACGCACCTTGTTCCTCATCTCCTGGACCTCTTTTGGGTTAGTGTTCAATGGAACAAACAGGTTAGGGACAGCAGAGGTGGAAGTTCTATGTCCATCCTCTTTAGTCCACTGTAATATCAAGAACAGTTGAAAAGTCAGAATTATGACAACGATAGTGACAAAGTGACATATCATCCAATCTGTCCAGTTTATTTCACATCTGGTCATGCACTGAACATCACAGAGAGGACTGAACCAATGACCACATCTTCTGGGTCACTCAGCAGAGTCGTCATGGCAGCACGATGCAGCCACATAAAGACCAGTTAATGGTGGAAGTCAGTCACAACTGATGGAAAAGGACCATCTGGAAAGCCCGGCTGAATCTGGGTCACAACGTAGGCTGATGACAGAGCTGAGCCCCACAACCCCTGGGACCAGCAGGTGAGGTCCCTCAGAGACCATTGGTTCACCACTCTGAAAATCATCCAACACCAAAGCCAACTGGAAGCATGAGATGACAGGGTCATGAAAAGCAATGTGATGCTACTACCCGGGGGTAGGGAGGAGCCTACACCGTGAGGCAAGAGTGGGCATCACCAAAGTTTTGCATTAAAATAAAAGACAGCATCAGAATGCACTGTCGGCATAACTATTTCAACCCAAGAAAATTACTGTATGAACACTTACACAGCAGCTACCTGGAAGAAGAGTTTGGTGATGTCGAATATTTTACATAACTTAATATTTTTGAGTGCTACAAAAATATCCCAAACAAACTTGAAGCGCTTCATGAGTCCTTAATATTTAAAGGCTGCTTTAGTATCAGTGCATCTCGTCAGCATGCTGAGCTTTCCACTCATAAAGTTTTTTTGGATCTCCAATCAATTGTGAGATTTTTAATCAAATTCCAAGGCATGAGTAGGCACTGAACATTAAAACAAGCCCATTTTTGAGAGCAAATGTTATGCCTTTCAGAATATTTTTGAGAGGCAATAAGATAGCCATAAACGATACAACTTTTTAAAAAGCAACAAAACCGTCAAATGCTGAGCCACCGCGAGGAGAGTGTGACATGGGCGTGGAGCTGCGGGTACTCACTGATGGTTATCTTCTCAGAGAAAAACAACTCCAGCGTTTCATTAAAAATAATTTTTAGTCAAAACATTCAAACAGCAACCTCAGAAGCTTGAACACATTTGAGAAAGTAACAACAATCATTATAAATTAAAATATACCAACCTGGGTACACTGCATGGAATCTGTTTCACTCCAGAACAATAAGAAACACATTTAAATGTGGGGTAAGGTCTCCTCTTGGATGTACACATTGACTAAAACGCCTAAAGTGACTAGTCATTTTGTAAGCTAATGGTAAATAAAACTCCCGCTGCTGCCTAAACGCTTTGGAAAAATTCCTCAAGGCAATTCAGCACCGTGCTTCACATCGGCCGCAGAAAGGTGTTTTGGGTTTTTTGTTTGTTTTCTAAGGCCCACTTCCTTTAACAAGTGAAACAAGTAAAAAATACACAAATGAAATGAAAGAAAGGGGGGAGAGAGGGAGAGAGGGGGGAAAGGAGACAAGGAGGGCAGGAGGAGAGAAGAGAGACACACTCCCATGCTCGGAGCCCCATGGCCACACAGGGTCCCTGCCCAGGTGACACGGCTGCTCAGGAGCATGAAGGCTTCTCACCAACTGCGTCAGGAAAACACCAGGACCACCTGGGGAAGATAAAACTTTTTTTCTTTAAATAAATCTATAATGTAAAACACTGTTATAAGGGGAAAAGAAAGCCCCACTTTATTTATTTGGTTGCCCATGGTTTTCGGAGCATCTAATCTAATTTCAACTGAACTCCGCTAGACCTCGTCATGCATAGTTGAGTCTGCTTCAGCCTCTGTCTCCTCCATTCCAGGGGCTTCTGGAAATGGGCCTCTCCTATAGTTTAAAGCAGAGCTGGGTGGACTGTCAGAGGTAGATTACAGGAGGAGTAAAGATCAATCTTCAGAGGAGGTCTCAGCACCAGGACATGGGAGCACCTCTTAGGGTAAACAGTAACTGAGCAGGATTAATGCTGAAACGGAGCACCCCTTGCAGCGTCTGTCGCTGGTGCCTGCAGATGGCCTGCGCTGCACTTCGGTCATGCCGCACCCAGCAGGAGTCAGAAGACGACTCACCACTATGGCCGTCTACTCACATGCAACAGTCCATGCAGAGGGCAGCTGGGGGTGCGCATTCGGAGGCTTTGGGATAGAAAGCAGGGGAATAACACTAAGGCAGGGGACAAGGGTCAGCAGAGAACACGCCAGGGAGCCACGAAGAAAAACTGCTTAAGAAAACACAGAAGACTTAAAGAAGAAACTTTAGGGACTTGAAACCACTGGAGTTCACAACACTAAAATATCAGGTTTAGGACTGAAGTGTCTTTTTGTGCATGAAGTATTAAGAGTCCCTGAATACAATTTGAATGAGAAGAGTTCCTATCTGTAGGTTAATACATGTAAATTATTTTGTATTTTTGCTACATATGGAGATATACTGGAACTATTGCGGAGTTACATTACATCTTAAGCAGTTTCAAGCAGATAGTATTACCCAAATTTTAGTAATGCATTCAGTGGACTTAGGTTCAGACTATGAGAAAGTGAATGAGGAAGGTTCGCTCTATATCAGGGTCAGAAAGGCTGGATTCCCAAAGCCTCCGAAGCCCCAGCTACCCAACTTGCTCTACGTCATCTAACTATGAACAGTAAGGTAGGCACAGACCAAGCAGTTGGTAATACAGCTTGGCACGCAGACACCGGACGAGAGAGACTGCAGCAAGGGTTTCACGTGATCGTGTGTAATGTTCGTCCACACCTTAGTCTTCGACTTGGGACTGCTTCCATTCTGCCCCTCCTCAGAAGCTTCATCACCCCGGCCAGAGTTCAGCCATCTTGTCTTCTCCCGCTGCTGCTTCTGAAAACTGTGTCTGAGAGGGGAGCAAGTGCCCGAATCACCGTCACTAGCAAAGGAGTAACCTGTGACACTAGCAGGAACCTCCACATCGCTGTATTTTTTAGACTTCTCTCTCAGAGCAGGATATCGGTAAGGGTAGCCAGTTCTGTAGCCCTAGGGTCAAAGGAGAGTGAAAGACAGTCAATATTCAGATCTCAAAACAGGGTTTCACTTTGGAAAATCACGTGGAAGTATCCATAAAGTTGAACACATGCATACCCTATGACTCAGCAATTCCACTCCTCATGTTATACCCAACACCAAAAAGCCAGGCTAAAATGTGAATAGCAGCCCTACTCCTTGTAAACAACCCAAAAGTCCATCCATATAGGAGATGGGTAGGGAAATGTCTTTGCATGGTGGCCTGTGCGACAGCAATGAGAATGAACACTGTGCTCTAACCCAACCACATGGATGACTCTCCTGAAGGCAATGTTGAGTGAAAGAGACCAACCTGCAAAGAACATATACTGTGTAATTCCATTCATTAAAAGTGCAGAAGATGCAAAGCAACCTTTGTTTTGGCTGTCCTGGGAGACAGGCCAGTTGTCACCCCTGGGACAGGGCAAGTGACTGAAAGAGGTGCTGGTGGTGTTCTGCAGTGCTGCTGCCACTGCTCTTATTGATTGCTGGTTATACAGGGGGCTCAGTTTTAAAAATTAACAAACTGAACACTTGCAGTATGTGTACTTTCCTGGGGCTTATTTATTTCAACAAAAAAACCCAAACCGGGCTTACTTGCTGCCAGCTACTGAGCAGGTTATATTCATCAACCTACTTATATATTTTTACCTTTTAAGTTACAGTTTAATATAATCTTAAGTAAGGTAAATATCTCATGACAACTGGTTCTCAGCAAAATTGCTTTATGTCTGAATATAACAACATTCAAATTCACCTCCAGCTCTGCCTCGTGACCATGTGCTCTGTGGTAAAAGACAGCTCCACTTACAAAGCCTCTGCTGGACCAACTTGTCAGCAGAGTCGTCTCACAGACAGCATCTCTAAGGGCAGGGACGGTGTCCTCTGCATCTCTCCTGGCCAGTGCTTGTCATTCGGTCGGTGTGACTGACAGACTTTATAGTGGCCCCAGGCCCCCAGCTCCTGTAATCCCCTCCCATCTTGAGCATGGATGAGATCTCTGACTTGCTTCACCAAAGGTGATGGGATGAATCACAGAAGAGTGTCGCACCTGTCTTATAAGAGTCTCTCTCACTTAAATTATTGCTGTCAGGTATGTCTGCCATTAAAGATCAGTCTCAGGAGTATGCTGGTTGCTGTCAGGTGTCTACCATGCGCCTCCACCCCAGCATACACTAGAAAATAATTTAAAAAAAAAAAAAAAAGAGTCTCTCTCTCCACTGCTGGCTCTGAAGAAGCGAAGCTGCCAAGAATGCTTCAGCCTTAAGAAAAGGAATTCTGTCCCCAGTTTGGAGGAGCCTGGACGTGGATCCTCTGAGTCAAGCCTCCTAATGAGAACCCAACACTAGCCAACACCCTGAATGTAGCCTTTATGAGACACTAGGATGAGTTCGCTGCGCCTGGACTCCTGCCCCACAGAAGCTGTGAAATAAATGGCTGCTGTATGAAGCTGCCAGGTCTGCAATGATTTGCTGCACAGCACAGAGAGGTAACACAAGGGATGCTGAAGAGCTGTCTGCTACAGATTCATACCTGAACCAAGTCACTCACAGCACCTTCACAATACATCACAGGAGAATTAGGACTTGGAAGAACTGCATGGGGCCAGACACACAAGCGCCTTCAGTGGCCTGTGCCCTGCTGACTGTGGCACTCTAGAAAGTCCTCTCACCTCTCTCTCCCCTCTGGGTACTGCTCTTCTTTGGGAGCCACCTTCATTACCAGTCACTCTTTCAATGTAGTTTTTTATTTTTATTTTTTTTAATTTATTTTTGAGACAGAGTCTCGCTTGTTGCCCAGGCTGGAGTGCAGAGGCGCCATCTTGGCTCACTGCAACCTCGGCCTCCCATGATACTTTTTTTTTTTTTGAGATGGAGTCTTGCTCTGTCATCCAGGCTGGAGCACTGTGGCTTCATCTCAGCTCACTGCAACCTTTACCTCCCAGGTTCAAGCGATTCTTCCACCTCAGCCTCCTAAGTAGCTGGGATTACGAGCACCCACTACCACGCCCAGCTAATTTTTGTAGAGATGGGGTTTCACCATGTTGGCCAGGCTGGTCTTGAACTTCTGACCTCAAGTGATCTGCCCACCTCAGCCTTCCAAAGGGCTGGGATTACAGGCATCAGCCACTGTGCCTGGCCTACATTTTTAAAAAAGGTAAATCACTAATGGAGTCGTTTTGGGTTTTATTTTCATAATTATTCTCAGAAAGATAAGGTAAATATCTATATTGGCAGTTTTCCCATTTCTGAGCACGCTTTGTTGAGGAATAATGAAAGATAATGACTCAGCCATAAAAAGACTACCTGCAGATAAACACAGTTCTTATTGTTTCCTCTTGCTTAAAGAGCCAGGACTCTGAGTAATCTCCACTATTACAGAATAAACCACCCAGGACTCATCAACATCATTTTATCCTGACACATATTGATTTTTGTTTATTCTTCCCCTTTAAATGGTGTTAAACCAAAATCACAAGTAACTCAGACTTTAGAACTACCATCTAGCTAAAAACATGGATTTGGGTCAGGTGTGGTAGTTCACAACTGTAATCCTAACACTTTGGGAGGCTGAGGTGGGAGGACTGCTTGAGCCCAGGAGTTTAACACAAGCCTAGGCAACATGATGAGATCCTATCTCTCATCATGAAGGGGAGGAGGAGGGGGAGGGGGGAGAGGGGAGGGGGAGGGGGGAGAGGGGATGGGGGGAAGGGAGGGGAGGGGAGTGCAGGGGAGGGGAGTGCAGGGGAGGGGAGTGCAGGGGAGGGGAGTGCAGGGGAGGGGAGGGAGGAAGGAAATATATGGATTTGCTCCTTCTTTAAGAAACTGAAATTATATCTTGATTTTTTTTTGGGGGGGGGGGACAATTTAGCATTTTTTTCTAACGTAAAAGTTCAAATGAAGTATATCTCTCTTTTTAAAAACTCTTTTATTTTTCCTGGAGAGGAGTCTCTCGATGTTGCCCAGGCTGGTCTCCCACGTCGGCCTCCTGAAGTGCTGTGATCACAGGTGTGAGCCACTGTGCTCGGCTGAAATATATATTATAGTGTGGAAATTGACAACTACTCTCTACCCTGCTCATTTATTAGCAAACAACATATATGCCAATCCTGATGCTAAATTAAAACATGGACTATGATTAGTGATTGCTGCCTAGTTTATTTCTTTTTTTGAGACAGAGTCTCGCTCTGTAGCCCAGGATGGAATGGTGCAATGGCACAATCTCGGTCACTGCAACCTCCGCCTCCCTGATTCAAGTGATTCTCGTGTCTCAGCCTCCTGAGTAGCTGGGATTATAGGCGTGCCTCACCATGCCTGGCTAATTTTTGTATGATTAGTAGAGATGGGGTTTTGCCACGTTGGTCAGGCTGGTCTTGAACTCCTGACCTCGTGATCCACCCACCTCAGCCTCCCAATGTGCTGGGATTACAGGCATGAGCTACTGTGCCCGGCCAAAATGGAACTAGCTTATATCTTATAAACTATATGGCCTTCTAATATTAAAACAAGTAATCTGTGCACATTAAGGACACTGAATAAACATTCATGATACTTTTTGTAATGAATGTTTTACTTACTAATTATTCTCCCTTATCTTCTTTCCCTACCAAATCAGTTTCTGCCTGATTTTGACTTCCCCCTCTCTGCCTTCTAGGATGTGCTTTCTGCATCTGTGGTGGCTGCTGTGCATTGTGACCTCTTCTCTCCCCTTCCTTACATGACTTTAGGTAGAGGAGCAGCGAAATGTCGCCGTGTTTACCAGGAGGTAGGGCCGGTGTGACTGGGCCAACCCCAGCCCTCCCCACTTTGCGCAGCCATGCCGAATGACCTGGCTCCTGATGCACACACCTGGGGTATGGCTGCCCCACTCTCAAGCTTTCTCCAGCTGTGAATTCCCTGCAGCTTCACCGCCCTGGCTGGCCACCCAACTCTAACTGCTTATTCAGCCTTCTTTGTGAGCTTTTGCTCCTCTCCCTACTTCCTTGACCAATCGGCACCCATCTTTGCCTGCAAGCTCTCATCATGCCTATGACTTCGCAGATCACAGGGGCAGGGCTCACTTGGGATTAGTTTGTCCATCTCTCTTCTTAGGTCATAAACTCCTGAAGGCAAGAACTGTGTCCTGTTCATGATTCTACAGTAGATAGTCAATTAATGCCATCAATCTTATTGATTACATTAACTCAAAGGTTATGCTAGGCTCTGCCTTCTCTGTTCATCCCTCTGTCTCTGACTGAGTCTACTCCTGTGACTATCATGCCCAGGCAGAAAACTCTCAGTTCTTCCTTTCTAGCGGACAATATTCTTCCCAAGTGCAAAGAATTTCAGTAAAAACATTTTGCATAGCCCAAATCAGATTTATGAATTCTTTTTATTCCAAAATCTTCAGGAAAGTTAAACTTCCTGCATCCTGAAGCCACCCATCTCATCTGTGATCTGTGACCCAAGGGCCACACCTGTCTTAGGCTGGAATGTGCCCACTTGTCCAGTACTGCCTGGCAGCACACAAGGACACTGGCCCCTCTGGAGCCTTCTCTCCCCGCACTGACATGTCCTTGCATCTATGCCTCGTAAGGTCATGTGGCATTAGGATGGACCATCGTGCAGCATGGAAGGGATCTGCTCCAGAGCCCTGTGTCTGAGGGACTAAGACCCAAAGGCAGTACTCTAATACAGTTCTAGGAACTGAGTATTTAATGATTCTGGTGAAATTAAGATGAACCTGAAAGGCACACCGTACAGTGCATGTTCCCACCTCCCCACTACCATGTCTTTAGCTGTGCTGTGGCCTCTTCATCCTTTTTCATCCATTTTTTTGTTCCAGGCTTTCAAACTCATGCTAAGATCCTACTAGTTCTTTGCGGTCATTTCCAAGGGCTACCTTCTACATAAAGTTTTCTTTCCAGTCCTTGCAAAAGGATGAAATCCTTCAAGGCAATCCCGTAACACAGAACACATCCTGCGTGTCCTCGAATCACAGTGTGGGCTCGCTTTCCCTGTGCGCTAGACGACCCACAAGCTCGCCTTCTGGACCATGCAATAAGCAGCTCAGGGGCTCCCTCATGGTGGACAGGGAGTGGATATTCATGGAACACAGTAACCTGGCCCCAAACAGCTAGGACCTGCTGTTAAGACAAAAGCCTAAATACCTGACTGACTAATTTCAAAAGCCACACCTCTATCGCTTGCTTGTGGGATGGCGGGGACTGAGCTGACGCAGCTGGTCATTCAGCAGTTTATTAATTCTCTGTGCTGTTGTCCCCACTGAGTCCAAACACCAGGCCATCTTTAAAACACAAAATAGGTTGGGTGTGCTGGCTCACACCTGCAATCCCAGCACTTTGGGAGGCCAAGGTGAGCGGACTACAAGGTCAGGAGATCGAGACCATCCTGGCTAACACAGTGAAATCCCGTCTCTAGTAAAAATGCAAAAATAAGCCAGGTGTGGTGGCGTGTGCCTGTAGTCCTAGCTATTTGGGAGGCTGAGGCAGGAGAATCGCCTGAACCCGGGAGGAGGAGACTGCAGTGAGCCGAGATCACACCACTGCACTCCAGACCCGGCGACAGAGGGAGATTCAGTCTCAAAAAAAAAAACAACACCAAAAACCTTCAACTCTATATTTTACTGTAATTTACCTTAGAAGTTAAACCACCCTAGTGCTTCTTCATGATTTTGAGGGTGAAAGTATTCGGATACTGCATAAAGACAGCAATCTCACTTGCTGTGAGAACACCAACACTGGTGCTTTTAGAACAAAAGGTTTATCATCAAGCGGTGGCACCATTCTTACCAGATTATCAAGCATCCGCATGAGGGCTTCAAATTCCTGCTCACCAATCTGCCACTTGGGAGGCGATCCAGTGCCTTCCCCTACCGGAGAGCCTGGGGAATGGGATTTGGCTTTGTACTTCTCAGGATTTAGCAGGACTAAGTTGTCTGGTCCTCCTGCGCTGGCCAGAGTTCGAACCTTTTCCAAAACAAACACACACCATGGCTTCAGTTCTTTACTGAGATCAAGAGGATCAGACGACTTGAATTAAAATGCAGGTTTCAAAAAAAAAAACCCAAATCTCTAGAGTGTAAGAATAAAAAATATAGAATGGATAGTGATAGACTGATCACAAGGTTACTTGCAGAATTTTTTCTTTAGCATGACAAAAATATTGGGCACCTACTCCAAGAATGTTATGAGGAAAAAAAAATACACTGGGCACCCAAAGTTGGCAGAGAAATGAGAAAACAGAGCACCTTTCAGGATCCTACAAAGGACTTGGGACCTCACTACCCCAAAGACGTAAGTCAAGAGGCAGAGGGGAGAATGTGAACTAAGAGCTGACAGAGCGGAAGGGCACTCACAGCTGTTAAGACGCAGGCAAGTCTCTATCTACTTCTCTATGCCTGCTTTTTCAAAAAGAGTGCTGTGGCGGTCATGTGACATCATGCATGAGATGACATGCACTAAGCACCTGACGCCAGGCCTGGCACACACCAGTACTCCATAAACGGTAGTGACTGACATATTGGAAAATAAAGAAATTAGAAATGAAAAGTCCAGTAATCCTTTGCCAACTTAAATCAGCAAAACAGCATTTGTCCTGATCAAGTCCCAAATCCATGAGCTTATCTTTGGCAAAGAGATTGCTCAAAGACTCCTCTCCTACTAGACAAATATCAAAAAGTCCATGTGAACCCCAGACACATCTAAATAAACAGCGATTAGAATGGCTGTCCCCACCTGGATCTCGCAAGCAACCACAAGGTTGTGAATGTAATAGAAGGCCTCCTCAACGCTCTCTCCAACTGACACAAGCCCGTGGTTCCGGAGAATAAGAACCTGAGGAGAAACAGGAGTGTTCTACGAAGCTGGGCAAGAAGACTGGTCCTTTGCTTTATTCTTCTTTCTGCTGTAATTTAAATACCAGGTTACAGGCCTACTGACCTTGCTTTTAGGCCCCAGATTTTTCTGAATCAAAACTTTTTCCTCTTCATCCACCAGAATGCCATGGTAGTCATGATAAGCCACTTCTCCAAGGGAAAGCGCCTCCGGGGAGATTGGCAAGAGGCCACATTTCATCGCAGAGACCTAGAGACCAAATGGTCGCCACGAGGAAGGAAAAGCCAGGGTTACACAACGACTGATGACATGGTAAATGCTTTCCTCACAGAAATAAAATGGGAAGGGAAATGTTTATTTTATTGTCTTCTTGAAAATAAATCAATCTATGAACTTAAGATAAAACAACTTGACTTCCAGTGTAACAATTCACACTTAAAAACAAAAGCTATCACGAAACGGGCAGAGCCTCAAAAGAAAATCCACATATTTCTAGACTTTTTCTCACTGATTATAAATGCTGTGTAAACCTGGATTTAGTTATACAATGAGCACTGTGTCTAATGCAAGGAGCAGACCACAGAGTCCTTGCACTAAATGAATTTCAAAAGAAGGCTTCCAGTCAGATATGGTGGCTCACACCTGTAATCCCAACTACTCAAGAGGCTAAGGCAGGTGGATCGCTTGAGCCCAGAAGTTCAGGGTCAGCAGAGGAAGACCCCTGCCTCTACAAATAATATTTTTAAATTAGCCAGGTGTGACGACATGAACCTGTGTAGTCAAGAGGCTACTCAAGAGGCTGAGGCAGGAGGAATCATGAACCCAGGAATTTGAAGCCAGCCTGCGCAAAAAAAAAAAAAGGAAGAGGTTTTCCAAGTGCCCTGAAGTTTTTGTGTACTTTTTATCTTAGGTTGTAGATAAGACGGAAACATCTAAAAATTAGATGAAAGCAAATTTATACAAGTTTGGTACACTTATATAATTTCTCTACATGTATGTGAGTAAAATTCAGTCTCAAAGAGAAAAATCTAAGTGTTCATATAGTCCTTAAGTTTCCTAAAATTCCCCAAAGTGGCCTGAGAATATGCCATTTTTGAAGGTCTTCTAAGACAAGACCTATAGACAGCAACATTATGACCCTAGATTAACATACTCCAAAGATTGAAAAACTAACTTTAGGCACAATTCGATAGAGAAAAGTTAATCTAAAAAGAGAATACCATATTTAACTCCTTGCATAATATCAGCTCTCAAACAAGTAGAAATTTCCTTACCAAGCAAAAATATTTTGATAATCTTAAAAACAGGCTGAGCACAGTGGCTCATGCTCACAAATCCAGGAATTTGGGAGGCTGAGGCAGGCAGATCACTTGAAGTAAGGAGTTGGAGACCAGCCTGGTCAACATGGTGAAACCCTGTCTCCACCAAAAAATACAAAAATTCGCAGGGTGTGGTGACACACACCTGTAGTCTCACCTACTCCGGAGGCTGAGGTGAGAGAATCATTTGAACCTGGGAGGTGGAAGTTGCAGTGAGCCAAGATCGTGCCACTGCACTCCAGCCTGGGCGACAGAATGAGACCCTATCTCAAAAAAAAAAACAAACAAAAACACATTACATGATAGCTGTTCATAACTATACTGTCAAAAAGGTACCATTAATGGTTCTTAAAAATCCATAAACATTTTAGTGCCTGGAGTGACATGCATTCTTTCAGGAAAAAAAAAATCGTATCATTCACACAATAATGTATCTAATAAAACCATGATGTTGACATAAGAACCACATGTTCAAAGTGAAATATACTAGGGGAAATATTCAACTAAATAATCCAACACACAAGACATTAAAACATCAGGTTGGGAGTGGTGGCTCGCACCTGTAATCCCAGCACTTTGGGAGGCCGAGGTGGGCAAATCACTTGAGGTCAGGAGTTTAAGACCAGCCTGACCAACATGGTGAAATCCCATCTCTACCAAAAACACAAAAATTAGCAGGGCATGGTGGTTTGCACCTGTAGTTCCAGCTACTTGGGAGGTCAAGGCAAAAGAATCACTTGAACCTGAGGGGCAGAGGTTGCAGTGAGCTAAGACTGTGCCCAATGCACTCCAGTCCACGTGACAGAGCAAGACTCCATCCCCAAAAAAAAAAAAAAAAAAAAAAAAGATCAATACAGCATTACTAAATCAATGAGGTCATGTGCTGTACAATAAACCCAAAAAGTCCTTATATAAAATAAGTGATAAAAAGCATGCTTCTCAAGTACTGTGCTTTCACATGACATTGAGCGAACAGCCCGCATGTCTGCTTTCATAAGGAGGGGTTTGGGGCTTTGTCAGGGTGACCCATTCACAGCAGAAGGGACAAGGCTTGGTGCACAGCTGAAGAGGGTTCCCGAGCAGCTGGGAAGCCAAGCCTCCCACCGGCCTGCACTGCCTATGTCTCTCCCCCAGCCACTCCTTTTCTTCTTCTCCCCATCACAATCCAGACTGGGTCCCACTGGATGGCTCAACCTCTCCCTTTCCCCAGCTTATTCCCACAGACTGTCCTCATGTTCAACTCTCCCGCACCCTAAAAACCCTTCCCTGACTCCACAGCACCCTCCACCCACCACCCTAGCTTGCCCTCTCCTTCTTTTCCCATTCTTCTTCTCTAAAAGGTGCCTGCTTATCGCCATCATTTTGCACTTCCCGAGTCTTTGACACCCTGAAATCTTACCTACCTCTCCCTCAAGTCTCTCTGATTTTCTTTTATTTACTGTTATTTAATTTTTGTTGAGACAAGGTCTTACTCTGTCACCCAGGCTAGAGTTCAGTGGCACGATCACAGCTCACTGAAACCTCAACCTCCTTAGCTCAAAACATGGTCCCATCTCAGCCTCCCAAGTAGCTGGAACTACAGGCACGCACCACCATACCTGGTAAATTTTAAAACTTTTTTGTAGAGATGGGGTCTCAGTATGTTGCTCAGGGTAGTCTCTAACTCCTCAGCTCAGCAATCCTCCCACCTCAGCATCCCGAAGTGTTGGATTAGGCGTGAGCCACCAGGTCCAGCCATAATTTCCTAATGGTTAAATCTAACAGGCATTTTCAGACTTATTAGATGTTTTTCAAAATTAAATGGGATACATGGATCCCTTAAAAGGAAAAAAAAATGATTTTAAGAATGTCAAACTTAATGGTAAAACTTTTTTGTTAGATTCAACAAAATTACTTATACTGACTAGAAACAAGGAAGGGCAATTCAGAGGAAATGTGCAGCGCCTCTCACTAAGCAGCTTTAAACTTGAGATGCTACCAGGACAGCCACTCACCGCAGCCCCTGCTGGGGTGTGAATGTGCACAACGCACTTCACGTCCGGGCGTGCAGCGTAAATTGCAGAGTGTAAGGTGAAGCCAGCTTGATTGACTCCCAGATTAGTGCTTCCACGATCTACTATGTCTCCTTGTAGATTGATCTTAACCTGAAAATAAATAAGCAAAAATTTAAAATATCAAGAGCACTTCATTTTTTTTTTTTTTTTTGAGATAGTGCCTGGCTCTGTTACTCAGGCTGGAGTGCAGTGGTGCAATCTCGGCTCACTGCAGCCTCCACCTCCCAGGTTCATACAACAATCTTCCCACCTCAGCCTCCCGAGTATCTGGGCTATAGGTGCGCACCACCAGGCCCAGCTAATTTTTGTATTTTTTTGTAGAGTTGGGATTTCACCATGTTGGCCAAGCTGGTCTTGAACTTCTGGACTCAGCAATCCACCTGCACTGACCTACCAAAGTGCTGGAATTACAGGCATAAGCCACCGCATCCCACCCCATGGGGACTTCAAATTACTCTAACTAGAAACTATTCAAACCCAAGGTTACAATGTTTCTAAGTTCTTTCAAAGGTTTTTCTCTATCTGAACTAATCATATAAAACATGGGCTCTTGTTTCTTGGGTTTTATTTACTTAGGTGATCTGAAGATGTTTAATGACCTAATATGACCTGCACATAAAAGCTGCCAAAGAGAAGGACGTTCTTACCAAACTGGATGCAGTCACTTCACTATAAAGAAGCCCAAAAGGTACAATGAGGAAGTGTTCCTGCTCGGAGTTCACTCTGGTCTGTGGGGAAAATGAGACTGAATTAGCTCAAAGATCCAAGTGAAATTATTTGCATCTCTTTCAGGCTACAAACTCATGGGTTTATTGAGAACACTGAGTGAGCTATGTAGGCAAGCATCCACACACAATGCCTGTCATGAAGCCAAGGGGTAGTGGAAGCTTTCCATCATTATATTGTACTAATTTATCATGTACATAAGGTGCTTCTTGCTCACGTTCATAGCTGACTTTACACGGGAAAAAAACAGTTCCACACTAGCCTACTGACAGGTCAATAAATTATTGACGGGTTACTCTATTGTACTTTCTGGTGGCTACCAGTGTCACAGGCAAAAAGGTGTCACTCCTCAGGGATACAATCATGAAAACAAAACTTACATTTTTTTTGTGAGACAGGATCTCGCTCTGTTGCCCAAGCTGGAGTGCAGTGGCATGATCAAGGCTCACTGCAACTTCTGTCTCCCAGGCTCAAGTGACCCTCCCACCTCAGCCTCCCGAGTAGCTGGGACTACTGCAAGCACACACCATGACCGGCTCATTTTTATATCTTGTATAGAGACAGGGTTTCACCATGCTGGCCAGGCTGGTCTCTAAAACTCCTGGGCTCAAGTGATCCACCTGTGCTGGCCTCTCAAAGTGCTGGGATTACAGGCATGAGCCATTGTGCCTGGCCAAAACTTACCTTTAAAAAGTCAAACAGAATGTCCTTGTTTTTCCCCTTGCTGCAGTAGGCATTGACAAAATAAATTTTTAAAAATACTTAACACCTAGGCTGGGCACTGTGGCTCATGCCTATAATCCCAGCATTTTGGGAGGCCAAGGCAGATGGATCACTTGAGGCCAGGAGTTTGAGACCAGCCTGGCCAACATGGTGAAACCCTGTCTCTACTAAAAAGTATAAAATACAGGCCAGGCACAGTGGCTCACACCTGTAATCCCAGGACTTGGCGACACCGAGGTGGGCAGATCACAAGGTCAGGAGTTCAAGACCAGCCTGACCAACATGGTGAAACCCCGTGTCTACTAAAAAATGCAAAAGTTAGCTGGGCATGGTGACATGCAACTGTAGGTCCTAGCTACTTTGGTGACTGAGGCAGGAAAATCGCATGAACCCAGGAGGTGGACGTTGCAGTAAGCTGAGATTGCACCACTGAACTGCAGCCTGGGCGACACAGCGAGACTCTGTCTCAAAAAAAAAAAAAAAAAAACATTCTATCTAACTATCTATCTATCTATCTATCTATCTGATATAAAACTTAGTCATGTGTGGTGGTGGGTATCCACAGTCCAAGCCACTCGGGTGGCTGAGGCACAAGAATCACTTGGAACCCAGGAGGCAGAGAATGCAGTGAGTCGGGATCATGCCACTGCACTCTAGTCTGCATGACAGACAGAGACCCTGTCTCAAAATAATAAATAAATAAATAATAATTAAAACCTGTAGGATGGTGAACAATCATAAAAATCACAATGACAGCAATCTCTTCCTTACTGCTTGATCCTTTCAACCTCCTGGCTCAAATGATCCATACACCTCAGCCTCCTGAGTAGCTGGGACTACAGGCACAAGTCATTAAGCCTGGCTATTTTTTTTATTTTGGTAGAGATGGGGTTTCACTAAGTTGTCCAGGCTGGTCTTGAACTCCTGAGCTCAAGCAATCCTTCTGCCTCAGCCTCCCAAAATGCTAGGATTATAGGTGTGAGCCCCTGTGCCCAGCATAATCCATTTTTTAAGTCTCTACAACCCCACATCCTCATTGCCCTAGTTGGTTTGCCTCTTCCACAGTATGTTTTTCTCTCCAGAGTAATTCATTCAATGCAGATTTAGTTCACACTAATTATATGCTACATATGATTATGCAGCATGTGCCAAACACCAGGAAGACAGCAGTAAAAAAGTCCCATCCTCGAAAATATTCAATCTAGTTTTTGCAATGGTTTTGGTATAGGCTCAAAAGGCTTCCTAAAGATTAAGTTCAAATACATTTACTACTGGGTTAAGAAACCCAGAATCCTAACTAGGGTCAGATAGGTGGAACTGAGCGTTTGTTGAAAAGGACTTAAAGTGTTTAGTCCAGCTTCCTAACCCACATAGTGATCTCTTCTGCAGTGGCCCAAACAGAAGCATACCCAGGGTCTGCTTATTCTAGTTTCAGTGATGGGGATGCACACCCCAGCCTGCCTCATTTCTTCATTCAGGAAAGAAAGACCACCTACTCGCTGAGAGCCTACCTTGTCATGGACGCTGACGCACTGTGATAAACAGCTGCTGGAGAGACTTAAGAATTAAAACGTTCTTCCTAGCACTGAGAATAAATCTGTTTTCCTGTGTGTGTCACCACTGCCTCCAGTATGAAACACAGAACAGATTCTAACCCCCTTCTACAATTTATTTTTCAGACATTTGAATCTATCCTGTCTCCCCTTATATGATCTTTAGGCTAAACTCATCTGACTGCCTCAGTATAGCGTAACAGGGTTAAGAGCACAAAACCCAAAGTCAGATAAGACCCAGGTTCAAATCCTAACTCTGCCAAGAACTGGCTATACTGTCTGGGTACCCTGAGCTCCTGTTTTCCTCATGACTAAGTGGGCATGAGAAGGGCTTGTGTCCACAATAAAGCTCGAAATAAACAGCATCTCCCCATTATCAGCATCATGAGCGGTAGTGGGAGCAACAACGGTAAATCACTGCCAGGGATCATTTATAGGGATGGTGAACCTAATCCGTATAAATCCAACTACAACATCTAGTCTCTATAAATCCCTATGACCCACTTCTTTGCAATGCTGAGTCAGCCTTGCTTTTTATTTCCTAAAGTCAGCTTTATTTATTTGTTTGTTTGTTTATTTATTTATTGGAGAAAAAGCTCACTCTGACACACAGGTTGGAGTGCAGTGGCATGATCTCAGCTCACTGCAACCTTTGCCTCCCGGATTCAAGCAATTTGCCTGCCTCAGCCTCCCGAGTAGCTTGGGATTACAGGCACAGCTAATTTTTATATTTTTAGTAGAGATGGGGTTTTGCTATGTTGGCCAGACTGGTCTCGAACTCCTGGCCTCAAGTGATCCGCCCGCTTTAGCCTCCAAAAATGCTGAGATTATAGGCATGGGCCACTGTGCCCAGCCTCCTTTATCTTAAAAAGCATCCTGACCTTTTTTTTTTTCTTTTTTCTTTAAGAGAGACAAGGTTTCACTATGTTGCCCAGGCTGATCCCAAACTTTTGAGTTCAAGTGATCCTCCTGCCTTGGCCTCCCAAAGTGCTAAGATTACAGGCATAAGTCACTGCATCTGGCCCATCTGACCTTTTGAACTACTTAACACAAAAGTAAGCAGTTGTCTAATTCCTAAGTTCAGTCGAAAAAAATAAATAAATAAAACAAGATATCTGTGTTGGAATGAAGAAAAATAAGGATGAAAATAAGAAAAGAGGCCAGGCGCGGTGGCTCAAGCCTGTAATCCCAGCACTTTGGGAGGCCGAGGCGGGTGGATCATGAGGTCAAGAGATCGAGACCATCCTGGTCAACACGGTGAAACCCCGTCTCTACTAAAAATACAAAAAATTAGCTGGGCATGGTGGCGCGTGCCTGTAATCCCAGCTACTCAGGAGGCTGAGGCAGGAGAATTGCCTGAACCCAGGAGGCAGAGGTTGCGGTGAGCCAAGATCGCGCCATTGCACTCCAGCCTGGGTAACAAGAGCGAAACTCCGTCCCCAAAAAAAAAAAAAAAAAAAAAAAAGAAAATAAGAAAAGATTAAGTTTCAGATTATTTTTGCTTATTTTAGTAAGTATTTTGAAAACACACATACAAGGGTACTTAGAAGATATAAGACAATGTAAGTATAATAAATCAAACACCCATGTATCTATCAATTCGCTTAAGAAATGCAGTAATTCTAGTATCTCTGAAGCTGTTTCTCTTCCCTCATCTCCCAAAAGTAACCACTATTCAAAATTATGTATTAAACATTCCCTTTTTTCTTTACAGTTTTTCCGGTCATCCCTAAGCAATTTATTAATTTTTACCTGTTTGTAAACTTTCTATAATTGAAATCATACTGTATGTTCTCCAGTAACTTTTCTCAACATCATTTTGCGGCTCCTCCAGATTATGACCAACATGACTATCATTTATTCACTCTCACTGCTGTATAGTATCCACTGGAAGACACTACAACATATGACTCTTTTCTTCCATCAGTGGACGTGGTTTAAGTTTTTGTTATTAAAAACTATGCTGCTACAAACATTCTCTTACCAGTCTCCTACTGTACACATTCAAGTTTCTCTAGCATAATAAACTAGGAGATAACACCAAGTTCTTTTCCAAAGAGCCTCATTAAAGATGGCCAGGCGCGGTGGCTCAAGCCTGTAATCCCAGCACTGTGGGAGGCCGAGGCGGGTGGATCACGAGGTCAAGAGATCGAGACCATCCTGGTCAACATGGTGAAACCCCGTCTCTACTAAAAATACAAAAAACATTAGCTGGGCGTGGTGGTGCGTGCCTGTAATCCCAGCGACTCAGGAGGCTGGGGCAGGAGAATTGCCTGAACCCGGGAGGCGGAGGTTGCAGTGAGCCGAGATCGCGCCATTGCACTCCAGCCTGGGTAACAAGAGCGAAACTCCGTCTCAAAAAAAAAAAAAAAAAAAGATACAGCCCTCCAGTAGTTAAGTATATGATAGTTTTGTGCTTCTATAACCCTTTTAAAATATTAAAATCTGATGTCTGAGGCCGGGCGCGGTGGCTCACATCTGTAATCCCAGCACTTTGGGAGGCCGAGGTGGGCAGGTCACGAGGTGAGAAGCTCGAGACCAGTCTGGCCTCTGCTGAAGATACAAAAATTAGCCAGGCTCACTGATGGTGTGCGTCTGTAGCCCCAGCTACTTGGGAGGCTGAGGCATGTGAATCGCCTGAACCTGGGAGGTGGAGGTTGCAGTGAGCCAAGGTTGTGCCACTGACTCCAGCCTGGGCAACAGAGCGAGACTCCGTCTCAGAAAAA